TGGAACTATAAACCCCAGTTCCATGCTTAGTACAAAGATGCTCTAGGACAATGTACAAACCTAATTAGTTTGGGGTAAAAATCTGTTCATATTAATTCCCTAATAAGCATAATAATTCATAATTTTTTGGTTCTAATCACATTTCAATTAAACTTGGAGACATAGATTTTCTGTTACATTGCGCAGACCTCATTAGTTTTACACTCAAATCTGGTCATATTAATTTTCTGATTTGCATAATTAGTTTTCAGCTAAGTAATTTCGAATTATATTTAATGTGTCTCCAATACTCTCAGCACATGGGAGTTCTTTCTAAGCTTTCTTTGATTTAACAAGAAGTCAAAAATATCACTTTTTACCAAAAATGACAAAAATATTCACCAAAATTAGAGAATTGAAGATATCAACATGAAATGAACCAACCTAAGAGAGGTTTACCCAAGGTACATATACACAAAGTATCAAAGCATTCAGGCTTGTAGTTTTCAAGAAGAAGTTGAAAAAGTAAAACATTGACACAATCACTCATATGATAGCTCCGCTCGACAAAGTCGACAGCAGAGCTAAAAATGAAATATTATTTCATTAAATAACCTGCACAAAATTAATCAATATTTTTCCTTGCTAGAATGATGTGTAACTTCATATGGGAATCCTGATAAAGCTTCAACTTTTTGCACTGAGCAGTAGTGGATAATGACCCACCTCTGCTCTTGATGCTAAGTTACAGGATTTTTTTTATTTACTTGTAAGATTTATTTGCAGAATTTAATATTGATGTTTTGTCCCATTTAGCATTGTCCTGAATTCAGGGTCCATAATTCTGAGCCATAAAGCAAAATTGGTTTTATGTAAATAGTTTCATTTTCAGTTTTATGTTTAGATTTCCTAAAAGTACTTTGTTCATGATGTAATTGATTTTCCAGCTTTACCTGCTAAATTTGACATGGCATCAGCATATGTATCTAATTTGCATATTCAACTAATTTATAAACAGAAAAACCTTATCTTTGTATGCCAGTTCAGGAATCAAAGAATATTGAATTTACTTCACACAAGAGCACTTTCAATCAT